TTATGAAACAATGAAACTATATATATATATATATATACACACACACACACACGCGCGCGCACACACAGATACACACACACACACAGATATACACACATACCTAGCTATCATTTAAAATACAGATAAACAATAGAACAAACCGTCCTGGCTTAGGGCCACAGGCACCACTGTGTATAGTGGGTGTTTCACCTTGTGCTAGGGGTTGGAGGCCTGGACAGCCTTGTGCAGCACCGGGGCTCAGTCTGTTCCCAGACCCTCTGGGCAGCGTTGTCTGCACTGAGATGCTGCCTGTGTCAGCAGCTGTAGACCCGAGCCACCTCAACCAGCTCCCAGGGTCTCTCACCCTCCGTGCAGCACCTCCTGCACCGAGCTCCCAGCCTTGTTCCGGGGGTTGAGGACCTGAGCAGCCCCAGGGGCTCCAAAGATCCTGCTCCGTGCACCAGCCTGTGCACCATGTCACTGGTCACATGCCAAAGGTTGTAGACCTGAGCCACCTCACGTAGCTCCCAGGGTCTGAATGCCATGTGCCGTGCTGAGCACTGAGAACCTAACTGCTAGACCCGTGCCCCACTCCCCGCTGATGGAAGTCTTCAGGGGCTCTTCCTGGGCTACTGCAGGTCTCCTCAGCTCATCTAAGCCCCGCTCTTCTCTCTTCTCAGTCCCCGATGCGTCCCCCTCATGCTGGGCACGCAGCTCCTTTTATATGCTCCAGGGCTCTGCCCCTGAAGTCTTCCAGACCTGACAGCTTACAGTCTTCAATCAGGTCTGGTGCAGCTCTTCTCCCACCTCCCCTCAGGAAAGGGGGATAACATAACATCTATTGTGATGTTATTTCTCTTGCTGCGTCCTGATTGGTGGATGGGCTCCACCAATCAAAACAGCAGGATCTCAAGCCTGGGACTCAACCCAAGCTCTGAAAGGTAAGCCTGCTCCATGTGTATTTGGTCATGTCTGCTGTATCTTGCCTGTTTGTTAATTTGAGAAGAGAAACGTGCTGGCGTGTAGGCAGGAAAGCCCCTTTTTTTTAGAACACCCCTGCTGTGTACTGGAAAGAAGAAACTGGTTTTGGTCAGGTAAGCAGGAAAGATCAGACATCTGGCTTGATTGGCTAGACTGGGAGGGTTCTTTTAAATGAACTGGAAAAGAGAGAAAGGCTGGAGGCCTGGCTACCCCAGTTAGATACTTGGGCTGATGTCACACCAGGTACATAGGAAGAACGAGCTGGGAGCCTAAGGAGCCTTTTGGGTCCATGCAAATTGTACCATCTCGTGAAGCAGAGAGGTGATGGGCACAAAAGCTTGGAGAAGCCCTTGATAAAACATCTATAGAAGTTTGCAAATCCCAGGAACCACTGCATTCCTCA